TCTTCTCTTCTGAAGGGGAGTTCTTCACCATTATAAGCTAACAGTCAATGTTGGCATTATTATGGCCATTGTTTTGTTTTCTTTTAATCCTTCTCTCGTTGCCCATTAAAACAAGTCGGAGTTACAACAATGTCTAAAAGTTTTGCTTACAGCTTTTTAAGGACCAAAAACGGAGTGGTCACACATCCCCAACAGTTGGAGAATCCCTGATCAAAACCTTCACACAATGTTTTCTGTCTCCTGGATTTCCTTGGCATGAGCTACACAAATACAGTATGTGCAGAATGAACCAAAAGCAACATCAGTATTTATACGCTTGTCTGTTCAGAGGAAAAGACATTTAAAAAAATCTCAATAATATTTTATACATTTATGCAGATTTTTGTTATTTAAATTGTTCAAAAGAGCATGGCAGCTCGGACCTGGGGTCTTTCTGTGTGGAGTTTACATATTGATTACATAACTCCATTAAAAAATCTAGAATTTGTTTCAAACACTTAATTGTATGTGATCACTATTTCATATAGTTATGGGCTTAATTTTAAGTTAAAATAAATTACTATTTGCTGTGGCTTATTTACTGCACTATTTTGTAGCTGCTAAGGCCTGCGTCACATGAGGAGATTTTAAAACAGCTGGACAATTTTCAAAGACTGAGAGAGCCCACAGGTGAGAACAAATACCAGGTTTGGTCCTGCAGTGTGTGGTGTACAGTCACACAGCGAGAGACACCACACCACACACAGACAGATATTTCATTCATGAACATTCAGATGTCAGACGTGAAATCTTGCGGGACGTCAGATGCATGTGCGTCAGAACATTTTAAAAGTGAGGGGGACACACAGGTCAGGGTGGGGGGCCTGGGGGTCCTCCCCCAGAAAATTTTGAACAAAATTGATGCCATTTCCTGCATTCTGGTGTTTTTTTTTTTTTTTTACCAGGTTCTTAAACATACAATTACATACATAAATAAACACTTGATTTAATTATTATTTCAGAGACAGATTCTTCATTAAACTACCATCCTGTTTAAAACTCACTGCTACAGCTGAGATAAGGTTCATTAATGTGACACAATTTAACATATCCAGTGACTTAAGGGGTGCCTTTTACTTTCATATTGTTTATTCTTGATTTATTTTAAATTGTAATGTGTCAGTATGCCAAATGACCATTAACTGCATG